TTCCTCTCTACCAGAAATATTTAGAATTCGGGGAAGCATAGGAGAAGTGTACAGCACAAGTACCATGCAGCTGTACATTATCTATACAGCACTCTTAGCCAACATGCTGAGCACTTGCTGTGTTTCAGTTGTTGGCCTCTGATAAGCAGTCATTAATGTCAGACTCATAGAAAGAGCAGATGAGTTAATTGAGTCAATTGACTTAAAACTAACCCCAACCCTGATGCAAACACATTGGCTCTGCAAACCTGATTGCATCTGCCATCTTGGTGCCTTTTCTCTTTCTATCATCTGTGAGATGGTCTATGAAGTAAGTTAAGTCCAGGCCACAATAGAAGATGCTGCCCGGTGCACTGAGATAGATCTGCTGTCATTGGCAGTGGCTGTTTTCAGGGCACTCAGGACTTCTTTTATCACTGGGAAGTCACCATAAATTCCAATGATAAGGACCACTTTGGGTACAGACTACTATAAGCATTTTAAAGACCCCTCTGTACGGTATTTTCACAATAATAATCATAATAATAAAAAGAAAGCCTTTGTTTCTCTGAAGGTTACAAGAAATGGGTATTTCTGTAGTTTGAACAGCAGGTGGCACTTTTAACTACTTTACAAGTGAGTCCAGTCTGTTGTTTTTGTTATTGTTGTTGCTGATTTAGCTTAGGATAGAAACCTAAGTGATATGGTGAGAGGGCACAAAATCATTTAAAATGATCTTGGAAACATTAAAAACCTCACCAGTGAACAGATTGCAGTCTAAAAATGTACGAAAATCAAGCCCTGAACTGCTTGTTCTGTATGAGTGTAGCTAGCACACAGACCTTCTGTAGGTAGCTTTCCTTGTCTGGAACAACCTACTCAAGCTGTGTACAAAGGAAAAGAAACAACACTAGAACTTAAAATTTGGAAATGCCCAGTGCAAGTTGAGATGTATGCATTTCCAGAGCCTTCCTAGCACTAGGGGCTTTTAAACAACAATCTCTTCAACAACAATCTCCCTGGCCTTTGCAAGCTGCCTTTTCAGGTATTAGTCAATATGCATGCATAGAAAGCCCCCTTGCTGTGTGCTCTGCCACAACACTAAGACCATCAGTGTTGTATAGGATGATAGGGAAACTTCTTCCAGGATAGAATGCGGCCATTGTTATGTTTAGCAAATAATTAACCTGTCAAACTGGGCACCAGTGGCCCTTGACTGTAAACCTAGCTACTCAGGAGGCAGAGATCTGAGTATGCCAGTAAAAAACCAGCTTGGGCAGGAAAGGCCTTGAGACACTTATCTCCAAGAAACCACCAGAAAACTGGAAGTGGCACTGTGGCTCAAGTGATAGAGAGCTAGACTTGAGCTGAAGAACAGAGAGACAGCCCCTAGGCCTAGAGTTCTAGTCCCATGACCAACAAAATAAAGAAAAAGAAAGAAGGAAGAAAGAAAGAAAGAAAGAAAGAAAGAAAGAAAAAAAGAAAGAAAGAAAGAAAGAAAGAAAGAAAGAAAGAAAGAAAGAAAGAAAGAAAGAAAGAAAGAAAGAAAGAAAGAAAGAAAAAGAAAGAAAGAAAGAAAGAAAGAAAGAAAGAAAGAAAGAAAGAAAGAAAGAAAAGAAAGAAAGAAAGAAAGGAAGGAAGAAAAGAAAGAAAGGAAGGAAGGAAGGAAGGAAGGAAGGAAGGAAGGAAGGAAGAAAGAAAAAAACCTGTCATGATGAGAGATATGGCAAAGCTCAAGCCTCTGCAGATAAAGACATCCTGACCTGGGAGATGGCTCAAAAACAGAGGCACTGTTACCTTCTCCTGGTAAGAACCAAAGCTCCCACTGGAGCCCATACCATTAGAATGGAGCAGATGCCCAGCACATGCCTACAGCCCCAAGTCAGTGTGGCCAGAGTGATTAGCAGCCAAGCTTCCAAGTTCCCTTTGATTCCTGCCTCCTGGGCACATTGTGGGCCAGCTCAGAAGGAGGTTTCAGAAGAGCATAAAGAGCCATGAAGCAAAGCAGTCGTGTAGAAATGCAAAGCACATGACTCTCACCTCTGGGATTCCAGAGTTATTCTCAGATTATTTTGTGGATAAGATGTGAGTGAATCATCTTGCTTCCTGAAAAATATCTCTGTATAGGTAGGCACTCTTTGCCTCACACTGAAAGGCAACCACTTGTCCAAAGGCTGGTCTCATCTGTGGCCAATAAATTTCCTTTTCCCGGCTATCACCCCTTTAACAGACATCTGTATGTTGGCTGATAGCACATCCATGAATGGAGATGTACCTGCGAAGGGTTTGAAACCATAGTGGTCCATGATGTCCTATCACCATTTCTCTCCCATTGTCATTTCAGAATTAGACCAGAAGCTGGTTGCAATCACAGCACATATCAACACAAGACTGTCAATACCAGAACCTTGTCAAAGTCTACTTTGAAGATACCTTTCAGTTTCAATCTATGTCTGACAGAGTATCTACCCCCTACTTTTTTCGTCTAGGATATGTGCAGCTATAAACTGGGAGACTTTTAGAGAATAAGATTAGAGAGAATGGGTCTCCTGGACAGGATCTGCTATAGGTATGACAAGTTGGAAGGAAAAAGGAAACAGCATAAGGAAATATCATTAACATGGCCAAAGTGGTCAAAAGACATCTCTCCAATGCAAGAATGTCTGTTCTTGTCGGGCCATGGCCTGGTATGGTGGTGCCACTTTACACTTTGGTCCCATTAGAGTAACATACATGTCATGGCTTCTTCCTTCCATGGCCTAGGCTGACTACCAGAGGTTCATTCCCTGTTTCTACCTCTGCTTTCTAAAAGGGTACACACATCAAGGGGCTCTCTTCTTTCCCCCTACAAATATTCTACCAATGTTCCCTCATTTCACAACTCCTCATTGCCAATCTGGGTGCTGCTTTTCTATGAGTCCTAATGTATCCTCTCCTGAGCCTAACATTTGTTGCCTTTCCTCCTTTTGGTGCTGGGGACTGAACTGAGAGTCATGTGTTTGCCAGGGATGTACTTTACCACTGAGCTGCATCTTCACCTCTGAACTTTGTTTATCATACTTGTCAAGAACTCTATTAAGTATTTGATACAATTACTAAGGTACATGAGAATAAGGGAGATGCTGCACTTAGCAATTGGACAAAAAATCACCTATCTATAGGAATCACCTCCACATTAGCTTGTGTGGCAATGAATGCAGAGCTCTGGCTAGGAGAAAACAAAAGTCATGCCTGAGAAATACATGGTGGTCTACTGGTAAAATTATCAACAGGAGTTTTCTAAGGAGTGAGGCATGAGTCATTAATTATGAACCACGAACTACTTCTTCAAAAGTGTAAAGAAATAAGCCAAAGCCACCAGAAAAGACTCATGAAAAGACTCATAAATGGGTACTTAAGAGAAAACAAAAACGTTCTTAGTCAAACACTGGTAGATAGGATGGGTGGTGCCTCCATCACAGCTTGGCCTCAATCCTTAACCCACTGAGGAATGAGAGTGCCTTGGCCAGGCCTGCCTTCAGTTCTGACCCAGCGACCTTAGAAGATTTGGGGTCATCCAACCTGGTCAGTTCTAGGACTAGAGACCCAGGGGTGTCAACACTTACTCCCTAGGACTCCCACAATGGAAGCTATTTGCACTTTGATCTCCCTGGGGCAAGGACACAAAACAACCTGCTTCTAGTCACAGATCACTCGCTGGGACAGTTTACTTTCTAATGAGTGAGACCAGCTTGGATGGTCTCCCCACCCTACCCCAACCTCAGGCCTGGTAGAGGAAAACTTATGGAACTTACCATCTCCCAACTTTACTAGCAACAAGGGACTTGCACCTCACCCAGAAGTACCTTTTCCTTAGAGCTTTCTATAAGTTGCAGTATTCCCATAGCCCTGTTTCTGAAGAAAAATGTACTCTTACAGGTTATTGGTGGCCATGGAGGAATGCTTGGCACAGACAACCTGCCTGGAGCCTCACTGAAAGAAGAGTGAAAGATTCTGGCAAAAAGAACCAGTGACTGATTTGGCCTCCAGTGAAAACAGAAGTGTTCACCCTCTTCCTGGCCATTGTAGGTTCTAAGCAATTGAGATTTCTGTTTCACTCATGTAAAGTAAACATACCCAACAGGCTAGATCCATCCATCCCTTATATCCTTACAACACCTTGTGGGCCTCAGACAGCTTTGACTGCTGGAAAAATGAACATGAGAATGGGTCATTGGGACAGGCGATGTCTCCCCTCCTCTCCTTGACTTGGAAGTACTGTGTCAAGCAGTTCTTGATACACTATGGGACTGGTCAGCTTCTCAGCCTCTCACTCCCCCAAACAGCTAGAGTCACTTCTGTACTTAAAGCTGCCAGATACCTTGAGAAACTACCCTGGCAACCAGGAACTTGCACTCATCCTGTGAGCGCTGCTTCATTGCCAATTGAACTCTAAACACAGGGATCAGTGTTCCTGATACTGTTTCTGGGGAATGTGACTGAAATCCCTCTGATGGGACATGAGACAAGAACCTGTGGTTGTCTGAAGGAGAAGTAGCACCTGGATCTAGTTTTCTTTCTCTTCAGACTGCTTTTTTGCTACTTGCATGTTTTTGAGAGATTGAAAACTATAAAACTGGCCCAGGGGGAAAAACAACAACATTGGCACTTGTCATCCTCCTCTTCAAAATAGCAGAAAAACCATGAATTTAATACTCCTCTTGAGCACCAGTCCTATATTGCTAAGATTAAATCCTTCTGGCCAAATTTATATTTCAAATACACTGAAAGAATAAAAAGGATTCTAAAGAAGAATAAGGGCTCAGGGTATAAAATGTATACTTCTTTATTTATACAAATAGGGTTTTAAAACAATCATATTTAAAAGAAATTTGCATTTTTACATTCACCATCAGTGAGTTCCTGACAGAGAAGGCTGAGCATGATGATACATAGCAAGGTCCCACTGCAGACAAAGTAGCTCAGGAAAGCACCATTTATTTGAGAAGCAGTAGGCAGGCTCTGGCATTCCTGTAGCACTGCTAGCAATGGGAAGTCTTAAACCTCTTCTTCCACAAGACTTCTTCAAATTCCCCCTGTTCATCAGCAGTGGCATCTTTGCATTGCTGGTATTTGGACACTGGGTCGTTGATGTTGCTCTCAGCCTCAGTGAACTCCGTCTCATCGATGCCCTCGCCTGTATACCAGTGCAAGAATATCTTGTGCTGCAACATGGCACTGAACTGCTCTGAGGTGTGCTTGAAGGGTTCCTGGATGGCCGTGTTGTTGCCAATGACTGAGGCCAACATCGTGAGGCCATGTGGGGGGATGTCACACACAAGTGTCTTCACGTTGTTGGGGATCCAGTCTGCAAAGTAGCTGCTGTTCTTGTTCTGCAAGTTGAGCATCTGCTCATCCACCTCCTTCATGGACATGAGGCCTCGGAAGATGGCAGCCGCTATCAGGTAGCAGCCATGGCGGGGATCACAGGTGACTATCGTGTTCTTGGTGTCACACATCTGCTGGGTGAGCTTGGGCACTGGAAGAGCATTGTACTGCTGGCTGACACGGCTAGTCAGGGATGCAAGGCCAGGCATGAAGAAGTGCAGGCAGGGGAAGGACACCGTGTTCACAGCCAGCTTGCGCAGGTCTGCATTCAGCTGGGCAGGGAAGCACAGGCAGGTGGTGACCTTGCTCATGGTAGCCAACACCAGGTGGTTCAGGTCTCCATAGGTGGGCATGGGCAGCTTCAGGGTGCAAAAGCAGATGTCATACAGGGCCTCGTTGTCAATGCAGAATGTTTCATCTGCATTTTCCACCAACTGGTGGACAGACAAGATGGTGTTGTAGGGTTAGGTGAGGATGATAGGGTTAGGTGGATAAAGGCTCAGCCCAGCACTGGGAACTAGAGTGTCTGGATGTTAGGGAGGAGGGGTGCCTATTAGCCATCTCCCATGGACTATGATGACATATCAAATATGAAGTTGTCTGGTCTGAAACTCTGGCCAAATGGTTCTGATCTCACTGAGTCTAAGGTGCCAGTGTCCAACATCTTGGGCAAGGGCATGACACTGAAGGTGTTCATGATGCTGTCTGGGAACTCCTCTCGGATCTTGTTGAGAATCAGGGTGCCCATGCCTGACCTGGTGCCACCTCCCAGGAAGTAGGCCAGCTAGAAACCCTGGAGACAGCCACACCTTTCTGCTCACCACTTCCAGCACTGACTCCACCAGCTCGGCTCCCTCTGTGTAGTGGCCCTTGGCCCAGTTATTACCTGCCCTGTTCTGGCCTATCAGACACAAAGACATGATGAGACACATACTCCAGGAATAATGACTGTGCTATATGCATTGTGAAGACTATAGGCTCCTCTGAGCAACTTTGGCTATTAGTTTAGATACACTTCGGTGAAATAAAGGAAATGTTTTCTTTTTTGGGGTCCAGTCATGGGCCTGAACTCTGGGCCTGGGCACTGTCCCTCAGCTCTTCAGCTCAAGGCTAGTGCTCTACCACTTAAGCCACAGCACCACTTCTGGCTTTTTTTCCTGCTTATATGGTGCTGAGGAATCAAACTCAGGGCCTCATGCATGCAAGGCAAGCACTGTACTGCTGAGCCACCTTCCTAGCCCCCAGGAAATGTTTTCAATGTATCTGGGACCCTACAAATCACCCAGGTTCTAAAGAAAGTAAAGACAATGTGGAGGAAGATACATTTTAACCCAAACCACGTACTTCTAAAAATGAACAGAGCCTGGGGATGGGAAGGGCTCTCAGTGGTAGAGTGCTTGCCTCACATGCACAAGGCCCTGGGATCGATTCCTCAACACCACATAAACAGAAAAAGCCAGAAGGGATGCTGTGGTTCAAGCGGTAGAGTGCTTGCCTTGAGCTGAAGAGCTGAGGTACAGTGCTCAGGCCCAGAGTTCAAGCCCCACAACCGACCAAAAAAAAAATGAACAGAGCCTGCCTCAATACTGGAAAAGTACTTACTTTCACAGGAGGAACAGGAGAACAGAATGGTCAGAGGGAAGCTAAGCTGCAAGCATTTGTCTGCACCTTGCTCATACATAGCTGTGCTTTGATTTCTGGTGTCCTGAAGTGGTTCCCTGTTATTGCCAGGTATTTGAAATGGCCAGCAGTGCTGAAACCTTGTTGGAGGCATTCCCTGCTCGCTGTTCATTCCCTTCAGAGGCTGTTTGCAGACTGGCACTTATCTGTGCTGATTGAGTGGCCAGGGTCATGACTCCCGTGGACTGAAATAGGTGGGTTAGGTGAGGATGATATCTAGATGGATAAAGGCTCAGCTCAGCACTGGGAACTGGAGTGCCTGGATGTTAGGAAGGAGGGGTGCCTGTTAGTCATCTTCCATGGACCATGCTGACATACTAAATATGAAGTGTCTGGTCTGAAACTCTATGGTTCCAATCCTACTGAGTCTAAGGTGCCAGGCTCTACGTCCACCATGATGGCCCGAGGAACATATTTGTTGCCTGTGGGAACAAGATTTGACTTAGGCCTATACTTGACAAGGAGCTTAGGGGCAGAGCTTATGATTCTAAGTGGCTCTCAGCATTCATTACAGGAATTACAGCATTTCAGACATGGAAACAGAAAAGATATCTTGAGAATGAATCACCATGCAAGAGGCTTCAGCAACTTTAAGGACGTTTGCAGTTGTCGATTTCCATGCATTTCATTCCTTTGCTTTGGGCATGGTGGCTGAAATCTCAGCTACTCAGGGGGCAAAGATGAGCATCAGGCTTTGAGTCTAATGGGGCAAAAGAAAGATGACAACACATTTTTTTGTTGTTGTTGTTCATGGTGGGGCTTGAACTCTGGGCCTGGGTGCTGTCCCTCAGCTCTTCAGCCCAAGGCTAGCACTCTATCACTTGAGCCACAGTCTCACTTTCAGTTTTCTGAGTTGTTTATTGTAGATAAGGGTCTCAGGGACTTCCCTGCCCAGGCTGGATTTGAACCATGATTCTCATTTCTCAGCCTCCTGAGTAGCTAGGATTACTGGTGTGAGTCATCATTGCCTATCAGTAAGAACCTTTCTCTTTTTTGTTAATTTTATTTTTATTGTAAAGGTGCTGTATAGAGGAGTTACAGTTACATGAGTAAGGAAATGAGAACATTTATTGTCGAACATTGTTACCCACTCCTTTGTTGTTCTCCCTATCCCTTCCCTTCCCTAATTAAAAGTAGCTAGGTGCAGAGCACCAGTGGCTCATGCCTATAATCTTAGCAACTGTGGAGTTGGAGATCAGAGGATCACTGTTCAAAGCCAGCCTGGGCAGGAAAGTCTGTGAGACTCTTATCTCCAATAAACTAATAGAAACCCAGAAATGGCACTGTGGCTTAAGTGGTAGGGCTGCTTGTCTTGAACAGAAGAGTTGGGGCACAGTGCATAGGCCCAGAGTTTAAGCGCCACTGCCGACAAAAAAAACAAACAAGCAAAACAAAAGAGCCAGGTGTGGCTCTTCAGCAAGTAGATGTAGGGGGAATTCAAGTATAATGCTTTCCTAGGGAAAATACATAAAATACATATTTCTTGTGTTATAATGTTTCAATAATTGTTATCTCAATAGCACATTTCCCTGTATTCAAATACTCAGAGCAACTTTGGGCAATTACTTGCAATTTGCCATTTAACCTGATTTTTCAAAAGGGATATCAGTTAAAATGATATAAACATGAGTTTGAGACTGCCCCCTTCCTAAACAATCACATGAAGAAAACTGGCCATCCTGCCTGATATATAGAATCTAATAAAGACACAACATAAAATACTGTTCATAGGAGTGACACAATCCCACACAACAACTCTCAACCAAGGAACCACAAGATTAAAGTCTTATATCTTACTTAAGCAATATTAACACAAAATACCAAGGTGGGGACATCCCCAAATGTAGATCCATAGAACTCAAATACATTAAATAGCTCTGTCCTTTTGTTTGCACTTTTTCATTTGTTTATTACAGAGGAAAACCAATTATCTATGATTCTGTTTGTATACAATAATGTAGAATGGAAACTCTTTATATAAAATTAAATGAATTTCACATTGACAGTTACAAAAACTGAAAATCTACTCTGTAGACTTCAGAAAGGCTGTTTGTATTAGGAAAGACAATATGAATCATTTAAAAGCAGTGTTTACACATTATTATTGGGTTTTTCTACATCACAACAATGTTTTTTACTTTAAAAACCTTAAAAAGAATTTATTGTTGGCTAAGTATTCATATTCAAAATGCTGAAGTCCAGAAGTGTTATAGATTTCAGGGTGAGACACTTTATTTATGCTTTGTGATTTGGACTATTCACATATATATTAGTGACTGAACATCCCTCTTTACAATTTTAAAATTTTCAATTAAAAAATTTTTTTAGAAATTTAATCTGTATTTTAAAGAGGGCAATGCAACTGGGCTCTGGTTGCCGAAGGGTGAAATTCTAGCTACTCAAAAGTCTGAGATCTTAGGATCGCAGATTGAAGCCAGCTGGGGCAGGAAATTATGGGAGACTCTCATCTCCAAGAAACTACCTGAAATAGTTGGTGCCATGCCACCTCCTGCGGAGTCTGCATGAGATCCCCTTAGACAAAGAGCTTTAAGGAAGCATGCCTGCAGGACGGGGGTGTTGGTTCAAGGCTTCCCATACACTTGGCTGCACCTTTATAGCCTCTAACTTTATTCTTACTATATTCTTCTTGGCTGTACATTGCTTTTATTCTCATTTTGGCTATTTTTCTATTAATCTGTGAACAGAGCATGTTGTTTCTTTCCAGTCCAATAGAGAGGGCTTCTTTAAATAATAAAGACTAGGACCAAAGATTAAATGTGGGTGATGCCCCAATCAATCTATCATCTGATGTGACGCTGCCTCCAAAAACTCCTACAACTTCACAAGCGGTTTTGCAGCTCATGCATAGTAAACATAAAAACTTAAAATTTCCAAATATGTTACAACAAGCAGAATTAATGAATTAAACTAAGCTAGAAGGACTTATCCCAGAAGCCCAGAGAGTTCTAAAAAAAGGATCCCCTGATAATAAAAGAAAAAGAAAGACTGAAGAGATGAAGGACAATGCCTATGCCCAGAGTAGAAGCCCCATGACAAAAAAAAAAAAAAAATCCAGGTGTGGCTACTCAGCAAGTACAGGTAGGGGGAATTCAGTAAAAGGCTTTCCTGAGGAAATTCACAAGTGTATACTCAAAATATATGGTGGAGTGGCTCAGGTGGATACAGCACTTGACTTACAAGATCGAGGCCCCAAATTCGAACTACAATACCACCCTAAGAAAGGCAGGAACTCCTTCCTTGTCATTAGTATTCCTCAGGGACCTATTCTGCCACGGTATTGGAAGCCAGATGGGAGATACTCACTAGCTGCCTCATTGTAATACACCTCGATTCTCTGCAGCTGTAAGCTGCTGTCTACATAGTAGTTGCCAGTGCAGTCAATGTTGTGCTCATGGCTTAGCATTTCCCAAAACTGAGATGGAAATAGAAGTGTATTATGGCCTAGAATGTTAACTGTCCAAACAATGGACTTTAAAATAACTATAAGAAACCCAAGTCCTGTTGACACAAATATTTTTGTAAAAAAATTAGATTTTTTAAATTAAAAAAAGCACAAAAATTGATGGTATTTTAGTTTTGTTAATCTCTTTGCTATCTGGCTGAATAGAAGACATCTGTGTTCTCCTATGAGTATTCCATCTTATGGGATACCATATTCTGTTTGGATTCTATGACGAGAACCTGGCCTTATATGGACATGAAGTTGCCAAAGCAGTAACTTGAAGACTCAGCTAGAAGGCTCTCCAGAACCCCAAGGGTCCTCAGAGCATACACCGACAACCACTGATTTAGAAAACACCCAACTTAAGGGAACTGAGATAGGGCATGAAAACTCAGAGAAATTTACATTAAGGTGGACGAACTGTTCTCAATTATCTGATACTCATCAGCTGACAAAAAGGGAATCCTCTGTATCTGTCAGCTCAAAGACACTGCACTCCTTTCATTCAAATCAGACCAAAAATGCATTAGTCTATTCCCAGGAAACTAAGTACAATGACTTGAGTCTCAGGTAAGACTAAGACATGCAAGAGAGTTGAAACCACC